CATTTTTTATTAATGCAATATCCCAGTTCTTGGCTGATTCCATTCAACTTGATATTATTAGTGTTTACCGAAACTCTTTAGCCAAGCGAAAGAAATGCAGCCTTATTTGCAAGGCAATGCTATAATTTTAAACACTATACAACATGGACCAACTTGCTGTAAAGATTTATCTGTTCTTTAGAACGGTTTAAACGTTTGAAAACTTATAAAACTTCTTTATAAATCGCCTATTTGGCGAGATTTTTTTAACCTAGGTGTAAAAACTATTATAACCAATGAATAATTTCTCATTGTTTGCAAGGGTTTATGAATCCAGACAACGCAGTGAAAGAGTTACTTTTTAAATATTAACAAATCAGGTCACAAACGTTCATCACGTTCACAAACTATGAATTTTCTCAGATTGACGTTTTGTTCCATTTTTAGCAAATAGCGTAAATGGTGTTCACTAAAGATATACAAAAAATTTATGTTCATGTCATAAATAACTGTTAAAAAGTCACTAAAGTTACATAAATAGTATATTCTTCGCTAAAAAGCATTGTTTCGTGAGACGACGAAAAAAACTTGCTGCTCATATTTAATGACTCTTGTAACTGGTTTCAACCCTTTCGTCGCCCTCTCATTTTGGTGAAATCTATTTGAAAATCGCAGAATTTTTTTAAAAATGTTTGATTTTTATAGAACTTTGTATTGATTCATACCTCAGGGATGAGTTTGTTAAAAAATTAAAAAAGCTGAAAATAGAAATCTAAAAATTTTATTTGAAAAAATAGTTTTTAAATAAATGAAAAAATATCTGAATTTTGAGCAACGTGCATGTAGGAAGCATTTATCCACAGAACATTATCAACGTTTTAATAAAAATATCGATGCGAGTATTATATTTATTTAAATTGTGTGAATATGAATCTCAATATGTGATTTTTAAATCGCGTGAATAAGAATCTTGATATTTAATTCTAAAATAGCGTAAATACGAATCTCAATGCTGGATTTTAAATTCGTGGGATTACGAATCCCGATATATGATTTTAAAATCGCCTCAATGCGAATCTCAATATTTTATTTTAAAAAAGCGTTAATACGAATCTCGTTGTTTAATTTTAAAATCGCATAAATACGAATCTCAATGTTTCATTTTAAAATCACGTGAATACGATTCTCGATGGTTCATTTTAAAATCGCGTTAATACAAATCTCAGTCCCGCAGTGGACTGATCGTTAAGACACGGTTCCCAGCAGATCACCGAAGTCAAGCATCACTGGCTACGCTCAGTGTGCGGGTGAGTGACCACTTGGATCAGTCTGCGTAGGGACCGAGGGTGTGCGGTATTGGTCCTCGTTAAACTGTGCTACCGTAAAGTGCTCGACTTCGCGCGCAGGTCGTCGGGCTACCGAAGCGGGGGTGCCATCCCCTCCGCAGAGGATCAAAATTGTGATGGCATGTCTTCGGATCATCCTCCGGGATGTTTCCCAGACCGTCGCTAATAGCCCATTGTGCAGCTCTAGTGCGACGTAAATTAACAACAACAATACGAATATCAATGTTTCATTTTAAAATCGCGTGAATACGAATTCCGATGTATAATTTTTAAGTCACTTGAACCAGAATTTCAGCAATGTCTTTTAAATAACGTGAATACGAAACGGGATATTTGATTTCAAAAAAATCATGAAAATGCGAAACACGATGCGTGTAAATAAAAATCGAGATGTGCTATTTTAAGCTATAGGAATGTAATTTTATGTATCGCGTTTGTGTTGGCAGGAAAAAGAATGAAAAGTAATTTTTCTTACTTTCTCGGAAATTGGAAAAAGACAAACTTTTCTGGAAGAGGCAAATTTTTTTCAGTTAATAGCAAAACATTTTCCTCGGTGGTGATAAATTTTTCGTGAACGACGTTGCTGTTGAATGTTATACGGGTAACCTTTCACTTTCTGTGAAATTATGCGGAAAAGGGGGTAAAAAAGCTAAGTAGATTTTACCCAGCCCTACTAGAAAAAATAAGCACACATGTATGAGTATGAGTATGGAGTATTATAGGAACTGGACTATCTGACTGATGCATGCCATATGACATGACCAACTGTCCACATATAGAACACATGTAGAGTAGAAACTGTAAATAAAACTTGAACTGTTTCTGTATTTTGTGCAAGGTTTGTAATTGCTGAATTTTTTACAATAGCCTTCTGAAAAAACGGAGATATTTATGAATAACACTGCATTATATAGCATGCTAAGTGCTTAGCTGCAAACATGCGAATTTTTAAAATAATCATTTTAAAATGTTTGTAAATAAATTTAATTTCATTTGACAAATCAGAATAAACAGTTTTGCATTCTTTAAAAAAGATTATTTTTAGTTAATGATTTAAAACATATTTGTTTAAAACATTTGTCCAATAATGTTAACATTAGTCGGTTATTTTAGTATCACAAATACCATAATACTCATCTTTTTTCTTTTAAAATTAATTTTCAGCTTTTTTTTATTTAGTGCAGTGCACAAAAATAATTCCTCAGGTCGTATGAAATTGAATTTTTAAGAAAGACGTAAATTTAAAATTGGATATCTCACAAACTATTCGATCGATTTTGCTCAAATTTTGTATTTTGCCATATAAAGTTACATTCTTAAAAATAAATTTAAAAAATTTTATACATTGAAAAAAAAAGTTTTTTCTGAGTAGCATTACATAAAATAATAAATCTTGGAGAATTATTTTTTGCACAAAATTATCTTCGGATAAGAGAATTTTATAATACGTGTAGAAATTTTTTCATAAGTTCTCGACATATATACAAAAATTAAACTTTAGACAGACATATACAAAACTAAACATATACAAAAATTAAACTTTAGACTGATATCCTGGCAAAATTATTGAGACCAAATTTCCGGGATTGGGGCTATTCCTTATCCGTCGATGAGTAGTATATTTATTCAGAGAAGGTACGTTTTAGTTTCAGATTTAGTAACTTCAAATATCGTCTGCACAAAATATTTGAGGTTAACCCCGTAAGCCATTAAGTTTGAGATCCAGTACGTGAAAATCCGATCATCAGATCAAACGTTATTCAGAATGGTTCTTCTTTTCTTTTCACGCACATTGTATTTTATTATTTTTATTGAATATATTTAATTAAAATAAATTGCATAGCCGCACCGTCAATACAACTGCAGCTCGACATTATTTATTTTTAAAGACACAGTGACCACCTTTGAAAAATGTGTTTAAAATTCCTACTAAAAAATTTTTTTTTAAAAATGGAGGGACATTTTTTAAAGTAGGAACCGTTTGCGCATCATCTCAAGTGACGTCAGTTCAAGATCGTCATTACGTGTCATGTCTCTGCCAGCATTGGTTGTACACTTATGCTTTGCAATAGCTATTTTTTGCAATTACTGATTGACAAGCTACTTTGTTTGTCAGCATGCTAATCAGTAATTCCGCAGATTGTGAAGTTCGCTCAGTTATTCAGTTTTTAAATGCAAAAAAAAGTTTAGTGCTGCTAAAATTAATGGGCAGCTTGTTAAAGTTTATGGTGAAGGTGTAAAGAATGATGGAAATGTGCGTAGATGTAGGCTTTTTAATGAAGGAAGAACAAATTGTCATGATGAAGAACGATCTGGGCGGCCATTTGTCATGAACGGGAAGAACTGGATCATTCACTGTACAGCCCTCACTTAGCACCATTAGACTTTCCTCCATTTCCAAAACTCAAGTAACATCTTGTTGGAAAGAGTTTGGAAAATGATGACATGTTGTAAGAAACTGTTATTATTTAGTTTAACAGTCCAGCAGTCAAGTTCTTGGATGATGGGATCCAAAAGTTAGTACCACAACTTGACAAATGTTTCAATGAAAACGGTAAAAATGTTAAAAAGTGAATAAATGTTTATTTTTTAGTTATAATTATGATACAATTTACATTCTTAAATAAAGTTTATCTTATTACAAAGCAGCTCTTACCTAAAAAATAACCCTCATACATGTAATTTAGAAATAGCAAATTTAAAGTATTGGGGGGGGGACGTTTTGGATTTCTGCTTCTAGCCTTTCACCATTGAAGTCAGAACGAACAAAAACCGGATCAAACTAAAAAACTGGAATGGACTACAAGCCACCTCTAAGTTTTGTCCTCTAAGAAACAGAGTAAGAAGATTTCAATTCCATATTTAAGTCATAATAACTTTTTAGATTTTTATAGCATTTTGGTTCCTCTTTTTTAAATGTTAATCCCAATAACCAGGAAGACTATATGTTAGATGTTAGTATACACAAATCTGATTAATACATCAAAAGTCATTAAAAATGAGCAATTTTTTTGTTATGCAGACTACAGATTATAATTGTAATGAAACAAGATTACTATTAGATTATAGTTGTAATGAAATTATTCTTAAAATCTACTCATCACAAACTATAATAAATTGTAAAGAAATATCATTTTTATTTCACTTCGTTTAAAATTAACTAGCTTGTAGCAATATTTGGAATATATTTGCCAAATTATCACTGGCAAGTTTTTCAATGCAATGTTAATCTGTTTTAATCAATAAAGTAATAGTGACAAGTAGAAATCGAAGAAATATATAAACACGCAGAAGAAATTATGAAGTCGTCATATTATTTTGCCAATTTTGTTACAACACAGATTTGCAGATGAGTATAAGTCAAAAATTGTGCTTTTTATAATTTAAACCCTTATAACCTAAGCTATTGGTTCTCACATTCATCTTTAGTAGTTAAAAAAAAACACAAGAATTTAGAATTGCAATATACAAAGTCGTGTAAGATATTATACAAAGCAATCTAAGTAGTGCAAATATTTATCAAAATGATAGTAGAAATCCTGAACAAGGGTAAGTATAAATGAAATAATAAGTTCAATTAAATTTAATTTAACCTACTTAAAAGAATGATTAATGAATATTAAAGCATTTCAAAAAAAGAAGGGAAAAAAGACAACATATAAATAAATACACAACTAAAACAGCAATACTTTAATTCAACTAAAAATTTACAGCAAGAATTATTACGTAGAAGTTTCATCATGAATTCATGAAGAACAATAAATGAAACGTACAATTTATGAACCACTCTGTGCCACAAAATAAGCTATTGTTCCTTTAATTTGTGAAGCGGTATTAATATTCTTCATCATTCCAATGCAGAATGTTTTCTGCAACAGCACTGTAGCATATTCTTGGACTAAAACAGTAAATTCCGGTAAATGTTCCAGAGCAGTCAAGACAATGTCAACATGCTCACTCTCCAAGCATTGCAGGTAATTTGAAATAAACAATAAACCACGATTCGGATTATGTTTGACGTAACGCATCACGAGGTTGAAAGCAGTCATACGAAACTGCACATTGCTGTCCTGCATTAAAGTCTTTAAATTATCAACAACATTCTCCAAGATTCCGGGTTTCTTATAGGATATGCTCTCCAATTCTTGCAAAGCAGCGGATATATCATCAGAATTTCCCTGGGACAAACGATTAGCAATTGATGGATAGTTGGATTGGGACAAGTTCGTCTGGAGCTGCAACCCAGCTATTAAATCATTGATGGAGGGTTCGGCCTTATCCTCTGGGCTAGAAGAGGTACCAGGGGTACTACGAAAGTGCATACAGGTCCCTGTAAGAATAGTTCGAAAGTTTATTAGATCTGGGTGATGGCAGGCTAAATCCAGCAATATTTCGCTGTATTGCTGAATAAATACCCGCGCTTGGACAGGCTTTGTTCCTAGGTACTGAATCAGGAAGGTAAAAAACCGGTTTAGAAGTTGCATGATTTCTTTAGGTGTTCCGTATGTTTGGAAAACTTCTATATACAAAGACAATATATTGTGCAAGTCAGAGGTGTATTCATTTTTAAAGGAGAAAGGTGGCAACAGCTCGAGAATGCTCAGATAACAGCTGAAAAGGGCAACATGGTTCTGGAAGCGGAAAAGATGGTACTCTAAGTGAACTCTTCCCCGTAACAAAGAAATCATCATGGGTAACTGCCTTAGAAGCAGTAACGGGTGAGTGCTGGCCATTTTCTTGCAGATGAATTCGATGCGTATCATCTTCGGCAGACACTGCTTGCTCGAATCTGTTCTGGCTAGAGATAACAGCAAACTGTGAGATATGATATCCAGCTTACAACTGTTACTTTTCAACTCCTGCACTCCCTCAGACAAGAAAGTAAGAGAATCTGATATCAGTATGAGAATGGATGGTATTTGGTGGTATGCTTGAAGCAACAACTCGTGTGCTAATTTGCTTCGTATTGTCCCATTTTTGATGACGTCGAGTAAGTGATGAACAGAAGCATTAATCAGTGATCTTCGATGAGCCAAGCACTTCATTAGTAGCTTCAATCTCTTTTCATAAACTGAATTATTGACACTTGAAGTTAAACTCAAAACATTAGTCTCTTCTGATATGGTTTCGGTACATTTAGATCCAGCTTCTTCCAAAATATAATCTATAACACATTTCATTTGGTCCTCTGTTAAAGCAAGAATATCTTCTTCACATCCTCGCTTATGTTTCTTCTTATATCGACCTTGCCATATCTTCGGAATGTATATGCAAGCATGCAGGAAGTCTAAAACTGAAGTTGGATCAAACTTAACGTCCAAATCACCAGAGTTCAAAATTGTGCAAATGTAATAATGCAATGTTTCCCAACTAGACTGATGAATAAGAAGAGCTAGAAGATAAGGTCTAAAAGGTACAGTTATTGCTTCTTGTTGATTGCTTATGAGAGAAAATAATAAATGGCATTGCGATTTCGGAAAAGAACTGACTATTTTGGGTTCCAGGCATTCTAGCCAATCGACAAAGAAACAAAACTTGGAACGATTGAATGTCTTAATATTAGGGCTGATAGCCATGGTTAATCGTTTTATAGTGATATTTGTCATAGCAGTCATAAGAGGTTTAGTATTAACCTTACTGATTGCATTTCTTACCAAATACTGCATGACTTCTTCCAAACGTAAGGAATCATCTGTCTCAGCTGCTTGGACAATTTTAGAAATACTTTCACTATTGTCAGGATCGAATTGCTGCACAAATAATTTCCATGGTGCAGGCTTCTTTGTTTCAGGAGGCTTATGCTTATTGTAAAATTGGGAAGCAACTGTTAGAAGAGATGAGCTGGTAGCAGATAGAATATAAATGATTTGCTGGCAAATCCATTTCAACTTCTGAGCCAATATGTTCTTGTTGATATCAACATTAGCTTGTGATGCTGTGGCTAATCTAAAGAGCACAGAAGAATAGTATGATTTCTTATGAAGAGCTTGTAGAAAAGCCATTTTAGATTCACTTCGCAGAATTTGTTCACAAGTAAGAATAAAAACATTTATGGAACCATTATCAGAAGTTTTATCCAGGATGTCTTTAGATAAGGCTTTTTGTAAACCTTTGAACAAATCTTGTTCTTGCTTGGCACTCAATACACCACTTGATAGATTTAATCCTAAAAGCTTGACAAGAGAAATAGATATTGAATCCGGATCAATGGCTGTCGAGAGCTTAGGAGGAGCACGCTGTATGACCGGAGTTTGATTAGGGACAGCATCGCAATCATAAGACATATCAGTAGAATCATTCTCGAGTAAGAGCTTGGCAAATTTCTCCCCGCCAGATGCTCCTCTTCGATGTTGAACTTCAACTAGCTGAGACATATAAGATTTATCCACCACAGCTTCCTCAACAGAAAAGCTGTCAAATTCAACCGCCAAATCCAAAGTCTTTAAGAGTTTACTCATGCTAGAAACAGGGATTCCAAATGATTGAATAAAAAGTACCAACTGGGAAGGATCTAAGTCTTTTAACGCCGCATCTACTAAGACACCAACTGATGATCGAATCATTCGCAATTTCAGCCAATCAGGGAGCAAAAGTGCTTCCTCAGATGTATCGACTAAAAAGGCTTTTGGTTGTTCAAAATTTTCTGGGAACCAAATTTGAAGCAAGGCATCAAAGTAAGATCTGGTACCAGTCAAGGGTGGACCATAAGTTAGCACAATTATCATAGCATGAACAACTAATATATGCATTGTAGCTGATTCACCCGAGGCCCATTGAATGAGTATCTGATCCTGTGATTCAGACCAGCAATATACTTCCTTTGAAGGTATTTTGGCAGCACTAAGATATTTGAAAAATATTTCTGAAACAGAGGCCAAAAAATTATTTCCTTGATCACTGCAAACATTTTCATTAGGTAAAATGGTATTGACGATAGTAGGCCGTTCCACAATCATCTGAGCCATATCCAATGCTAAATCTCCAAATTCTTGCAAATTATTATCAGGAGTATGAATGGCTAAGAAAGCAACATAGGATGCAATAGCTAAAGGTTCATTTTCAATTTGACATGCTTGTCTTAAAAATATGCTTATTTGAGTACGGATCACCTCAAAATGAGGTAAAAGTGGCATACTCTTTAACAACCAATTATATTCACCACATAAATTCTTCTGAACCATATCTTCATCATCAGAAGCAGGACTCTTATTAGGCTGAGTTAAAAGTAATTCCAAGCCTTTTAGAGCAAGTGTCCTGGCACTAGACTGCTGAGAGCTCAACCGTTTCATAAAATAACTAATAACTTCCACTGTGTCCTGAGGTTCACTATCAGGATCATGGAGCAACTTCTGCAGATGAAAAAGCAACTGCTCTTGCTTTTTCTTCTTTTTCATGAAGTTAATGTCTTCGTTTACATCAATCAAACCTCCATGATCACTGATCAGGAACTCGCACAAGCATTGCACTGGTAACATATTGAAAGAGCTTGCGCTTGACTCAACCAGCTCACTAAGCCAAGACATGGATTGAGTAGTTCCTTGTCGCTGAATGACATCCAGCAAAAAGTCAGGATTTCGACTACGACAAAGCAAATCACCAAGCTTCAGTTTGGAATTTAAACCTTTTAATTGATCTAGGATAACAACAGGTGGCTTTCTGGCAGGTCCGTGAGGGTCCATTGATATCAATTTAGATAACAATAGACTGTTTGATTCCGTTATAGTAACTTTAGTAGAAGCAGCAGCCAAATGAGTTTCAAATATAAGAATTTGATCTTTCTCCATTTGGCTCATTTGAAGTTCCCGGCTACGAATTTCATCTGCTTTTTCTCCCAGTGCCATTGTCGGGGGTGGGAAAACAAATTGGTTGGTTATGCACATTTCCATTAGATTCCTAAGCATAGGACATGTTTTCCAAGCCATTTCACCAAAAGTGCTAGGATTGTGGCAAATGATTATTAATAACATTGACCAACCTTTCCAATATAGCTCAGAGATTGCTAAATTAGGAGGATGATAGCCTTGAGGAAGCGTTATATTTTCCGGATGATGGTAAGCACACAAATTGAAAATGAAGTCGTATAATTCGGTGTTATCCATTTCCAACACAGGAAAATCATCAAAGAATGTCATTGCAGACCTTTTCACAAGTTGGTCAGCAAGTTCTAATGCTTCAGGTGCTGAGAGATGGTGGTCACGTGACAGACCAATAATAAGTATTCTCATTAAAGTATCCTCAAGCAGCGGTACTTCCGATGATATGTGAAACAAGAGCATTTTTTCATTTTCTGATGGCCAATTCTCTTTGTTAAAGTAGTGTTCTATGTGTTCACGAAAGAGAAGTTTATGAATGCTTTGGTGGAACTCATTACGTCCTGGTTTGTATATTTTTGGAACAACTGAGTATAACCACCAGACTGCCTCCCTCTGAATATTAGAAACATGCATTTGGTAGTTGCGAAGTGCACTCAAATCTTTCTTTTCTCCTCTAGAGCAGGCAGTGAACTGGTCCTTAACGGAAGGAGTAATTCCCAGAAATATAGCTAAAACAATCAAATCTGCAATCGATAAAAACACTCTTTCTTTCAAAGGCATTTCTAAAGTGGCAAATGATGGATCTCTACGTTCTTGAAGAAGTCCGATACAGAACAAATAAAAATTAAAATCATGCCTCACGGTACGCACAATTTCTCGCAATAACACTCGCAAGCCTCTCAAATAATCATCTCTGTTGCAAAGCAAATCCAAAAATACCTCAGCCAACACTTTAGCAGCTTGGTCGGGTGAATGCTGAAAGATAATTGAAAGCAACTGCATATTATTTGGACTTCTCGAGTTAGACAGTTCATTATAAATAGCATGTTTGAGTAAAGAGCTTAAATTTTCTGCGTGCTGACTAAGAAGTTCTTTAATGCATAGTAGATAATGGTTTATGATAGGTTTAGCTTTCATTCGGATTTTTATGAGCTGACTTATAACTTCTACGTCATTTTGATTGTGTTGATTACAATTCAGACAGATAGCGTACAGTAAATCTTGAGCTGGCTTAGCTAGTTTAGGATTCTGCAACCAGAGTTCTAGTTTCTGAACAGCTGATAATCTAATTTCACTTATACCGCACGTTGATACCAAAAAACGTAGCATGTTACGAGACACCTCTGATGGCTGCCTACGAGTCAGTTGCTCCCCAACAACTTCTAGAACATGCTGAGTCAAACTTTCTTCACTATAAACATACCTGGGAAATACAGCAACACCTTCTAAGCTTTCTTGTGTCTCTAAGCTTATACTAGAGCACGATTCATCATCATCAGTAGCAATGTTTGGGGGACTAGGACAAGCCTCTGGTTTGAACAACCTTTCAGGAATTAGCATATTTTTAGGGATTGATTTCGTTTTGAATGCAGTTAATATGTTATCTACAAAACCTTTACAATAATCATGATCAACCCACATACGTTCTCCTAGAGAATCTTCAATATAAGCTTTAACGAATGCATCAGGCCAATTACTGTCATCTTTGTGAGCAAACATCAAAATGTTAGCGGCCAATATAGATATCAAATTGTTTCCCTTTGACTTAAAATTTACATTTAAATCTTTCTTTAACAAGCTACTAAATGCTTCAATGGTTAGTTCAGTACAAAATAAAAATGGTCTCGATTTCACAAGATATTGCAGACTCAAGAATAGAAGGTTATCGACTTTAGTGCGAGAAGCCTTTAACTTCTTTGCAGCCCCACACAAAAGGGCTTCTATTCTTTCATCATCGCTGATATCTTCAGCATCTATAACCTTATTGACAAGGTCACAAGGTTCAACTTCTACAGCAATACTCTCCCATTCATCACCTTTGATAGTTTCTTTTTTACTGACAGATCCCACGCGCTTTACATGAGAAGTAGAAGCAGATGAGGCAAGCTTAGCTTTCTTGGCAGGTATCACAGATGCAGCAGAAGTTGAAGCCTCGGTTTTCCTTTCGGATGAAGCAGTTGAATGCAGAGAGGATTTGGATTTAATTTTAGTATCTTCAGCTTGGCGTGCAGCAGGTTTGGAGCCCAGAGCAATGAAATCTGAATCATGAAGAGGTTTCACCTTATTCCCTGTTCTTTTCATTTTCTTCTCTCGCTCCATCTTAAATTCTGTCAAAGATAAAAAAATAGCTAACTTTTACATTTAGTATAAAAAACATATTTTTTCCCTAAAATAATATGTTAATATTTTCCGAATAATAATTTTTTTTACATTACCTACCATACATTACCTATAAAAAAAATTTACTGTAGTCACCATTACTGTCACTGTTTCAGAAAATCATCACCAAGCGTACTTCGCAAACAAGATAAAAAATATATACTTTATTTTGTCAATTTTGCAGAAATATTTAAGAAACATTCTAATATGAAAATGTTATTGAGACAGACATTTATCTTTAAGATATTTTATACCAAAGTCGAAATTATTATTATTTATGTTTTTTATAGCATTATTCTATTTTAAACGAAATTATTAACAAAAGAATATTAATTTTCTTGCAGTTGCATATTCTGATGTCTAAAGATGAGCACTGTATTTCACTTTTTTTAAAATTAGTTTTTGAGTAATTAAATAATTTAACTTTATTCTTTCACAATTTTATTAATATAACAGAAAAAAAGCAGTTTATATGCCTTAATCTTAGATATGTATATAACAAAGAACTAGGCCCTTATTTAAATTTTAAATTAGTTTAATTTTGAATAATTTAAAATTTGATAAGTTACTATATCGTAAAGCTCTTTACAAAGAAATTCATTCGCATAATCAGGAAAAGCTAATAAGAAACTCATACTTTTTTCTGTTTTTTGAAAGCTAACATTGTTAAATAGTTTGCCTTTATTTTAAAAAAAATATTTTAGATCATTCTAACTCGATAAATATTTGTGTAAATAAATATTGAGAAGTTTTTAAAAGTCTCCATCATGTTCTTTCTTCTTACTGATCTGCCTCTAGTGTTTGACCAAATGCTAATTTCTTATTAAGATGGCACAGTTTAAAATATAAAATTCAAACCATGAAAAACAAAACTAAGGGTTTGTTACATATGTATTGAAATAAAGAAACTGGGAACATTGAATAGCACTAAGGCAAATGAAACCAGCTGGAAAAAAAACTGTGCAAACAGTCCTGCATATTTGGTGGACGTAAGTCTAAGCTTCCTAATACATTTAAAATAAGGTACACACAAAAAAAAATTAAGTATAAAAGATAAGGAATTGAATAAGACAAAGAAATTGGAAAAAGAATGGAACTCAGGTTGCAAAATAAATAAATAAATAAAAATAAACAAAAAAAATTTCATCTTATTACTTCAATGTAAGAAAATTGGTACTAACATTTTATGACAGTTAACAAAAACACTATACACAACACAAATGCATGAATAAAAAACACCACAACAAAATGTTAGATTTGAGGTTTTTCCAATAAAGTATTCAACCATAATGGTTTTGTCCTATGATTAAATTTTCAAAAACTGATAATTATAAACTATCTGCCAACCCTAATTAAAATGCTTCAACGGCATTTTTTAGCACACTTTCAAAACGAAAATTAATTACAGTATATTCCGGCGCATAATGCGCGCCCGTAATTTCTAATAACTTTTTTTTAATTTTAAGATATACTCTTCGTATAACGCGCACGAAAATTTGGATTATACATGTGCAATATCTTGTCTAGTATCAATAGAAAACCAGAAAGCCTTTTAGTGTGGGTGGGACATGTTTAGGTCCCACCTTACAGATAATACAAAAAATTGTTGAAAGAACATAACACCGATGTGGCAGTTATTCCGGGCGGATTGACACCATTAGTTCAGCCATTGAACGTCTGCTTAAACAAACCATTTAAAGCCAATTTAAAAAAACAGTCGAACACTTGGATGTTGGAGGGCGAGAAAACCTTTATGAAAGGAGGACATATGCGTCATGCAAGTTTGGAAACAGTGTGCAAATGGATATTAAAAACATGGGATGAAATTACGCCTGAGATGGTTAGAAAATCATTCAAAAAATGCAGCATTTCAAATAATCTGGACGGATCAGAAGATGACTGTTTATTTATGGATGAGGGTAACGCAGATGATGAAGACGAAACAGATTGTATAACGAAATTGTATTATTGTATTATGTAATAACGAAAATCAATAAAGTATACAGGTAAAGGTATGTTATTTCTTTAAAATAAAAGTATTTTTCTATATTTGAATTTTTTTAATCTATAATTTTTTATATTCGGCGTATACTGCGCACCCGTAAATTCCAATGTTAATTTTTGTATTAAAAGTGCGCATTATACGCCGGAATATACGGTACTAATGTTCAACAAAGTAGCATTGTAATTTCGAACCCAATCCAGAATACAAGAGAGCTCCTGGATCAAGCATTGGGGGAAATTTGTGCTCATGGAGCACTTTTTGAGGGAACTAACCCGCATTTGAGTTACAGGGAGAGGTATATATCCATTAAAATTTTATGACTGATTAAAAAATAGTTTTATAAATTTTACTACACTAGAAATCTTTAAAAAAAATTGATAGAACTAAGCACCGCTCAGGTACTTTCCAAATTTTATTTTGTTCAAAATTTAGACATCAGAGAAATAATTTCTTACCTGAAAAAGATAAAAATATTTCATATAATTAAAATATATAAAATATTTAATGGTTATTTCACTTTGTAACAAATTTAAAGTTGTTTTTACATTTTAAAGTACTATAAATAATACTACTACAAAACTTTGAAACATCTAGCTAAACTATGACTGAAGTGATACAGGTTAGTTTCTGAACACTTTTAACCCGAAAATATGTTTTTTCTTCGATAAAAGGTTTGTTTATTTACTAATGTTACTAATTTCAAATTATAATAAAGGCATAAGAATTCTTGATTATATTTCAACATAATATTTGTATTTAATTTAAAAGCGATCCTAGCAGGAAAGATTTAAAAAAATAGAGGACAACCTTTTACAGACATTAAGCTGCATGATTTTAACAATTATAATTAAATATGAGTTATTAAAAAAAACAAAGATATATAATTTTTCGGAATACAAGTCTGAATTTTTTATGAATGCACAATTTTTATACTTTGCAGTATTTGATACTGTAATAGGTATATGCTGATCCAGAGTTTATGTGAACAGACCCATTTGTATGTAATGGTAAAAAAAACTACTCATAATTAAAGGAGCCTAAATTTAACACTAAATCATGTTCTTTCAGCCAAGGTTTTTGTCAATTCCTGAAAATATGGTAATGTTTTCGATCTGCATAAAAATCATACAAACCATTTGTCTTTCAAAATGTTGCAGTTCTTACTACACAATGATAACAAGCACTAAATTTATCTATATTAAAAAACATGCAAAAAAAAAATTATTGACAATTTTTAAAGATGCATACAAATCGCCGTTACACTAGATTTAAAGACAACAATTCCTTTTATGAGCTATAATGCATCAAACATGTCAGTTTAACAGAAACAAAATGATGAAGTGCAATTTCCCTGAGTAAAAAAATCAGTATGCCAGCAGATTTATAATGGCAGAATTGTAGCCAAACTTAAAGCATACATCTTAAGCTATCAGCAGTTATAGCTTGCGTTAGATGAGAAAATTAGAATAGTTCTGAGTGTCAAAATACATTGTTGCTTTTCCATGATACAGGTATTTGATCATTTCAAATTAATGTTCAAAATTCGTCGATACGTTTTGTTTTATCACATTTTTATTCGGCAGGAAGCAAAGCGAAAAATAATAATAATTTGCTGTGATTTGAAGTCTGTCAACTTTTGTTTGGAAGTTTTGCTATTTGTGGGACTACAGACGTGTTTTGTATAATTGCATATGCAAAATTGTTGTTATTGAATATATTGTTAATGAATTTACATAGAAAAAAGAGTGAAAAAATGGCATTCGCAAGCAAAAGTTAAAACAATGCAGATGATTTTTCAGATTATGAAGATGTGAACATATACAAAGACTAATATTTAACTTTCTTCATTTGCCCGAGATAATTTGGGATAGTAAAGTGATGGTAAATTGAATATTTTTACGCATTAGCAAATTAAAATTTCAACTTAGAACTTGTGTATTATGTTTTGTTTTAGTTTCTTGTATTTATTAATGAAATAAAAAAATATGGTGATTTTTGCACTTTTTTTTTCAAAAAAATTGGTTAGGGAAGCAGTTAATACTGAACATTTTTGTGAAGTGTTAACTGGTGGGAATAAATTTTAACTAATATGATCAGAGGTTTTTTTCGTTTTGTCCAATATAGCAGAAAAGACAATGACTAAAATGTAATAATAAATCAGAAAAAAAAATTAGGCAGTAATAAAAAGCATAAGAAAAAATATCTCATCGTAAGAATAAACAAAGTCATGGACTATAATTAAACACTAGATTTGTGGCAAATTGGGTTGAAAGAAATAACTCAAATGAACTCAAGTTACACAATTAGAAATTGCAATGCAAATATAAAACTATAAGTAGAAGTATATTTTTCATAAAACACAACTTGGTTACTATTGCTTTCAAAATAATTAATAAAATAAAAATAATTATGCAAGATCAGAAAAAAAATAGACTACCAACATTAAATATTATTTAACATTACATTTTTATTATTTCTAAATCCATACATCACTAAAAATTTTAACAAAATCTAAGAGCATTTTTAGAACATTAGTGTGTGTTCTGCATGTCAATTAAAATTAATCTATGCTAAGAATGGTAGACAGAGTTATTTTAAAATGTAATATTAAATAATATAATTATAATATAATAATGCAAATAAATTGATGCTTTTGACAAATTAAAAGAGGATCTTTCTAGTTTTTGGCTAAATAAAATAGTGGATTTTTTAAGGCAGTGCTAATCTTGTAAAAAGGTCACATAAAAAATAAAAAAATTACTCCATTGGAGAATTAATAATAAAATTATTCCATTGGTAAAGGGAACTAACTCTGATAAGAACTGCTAGCTAAATAATGACTTTATCTAAGTGTAGGTCTAATATCAGTAAACAAATATAGGGAGAAAAAAAGACAATCTTCATTAAATATACAAATAGCAGACTATTAATACGAAACAATAGGCAAACTAAAAAGAAATTTTATTTATTTAATTTTTATTGATAAACAAATACTTAAAATAAAACAAACTTTATTGTTGTTGACGTATGCCTGTTTAGGCAGAAGGGGTGCGATTGTTCTTGTTTTTCAGTGGCGCCATCTATGGCCAAGAATTCGACTTCTGCCACTCCATACATCGCAACCGTTTATTGGGCGGCCCCATTCATACAACCACAGAGCGTAATTTTGACCTGAATCAGAGAACGATCGATCTCCAATCCAGTACCCCCAGAGGTACTGATTTGTTATGGGAACATGGAGGACTTTTGCTACTCGACAGATGTGCATCAGTCACTTTACTACAAGGGGAGTCTTCGGCCGGCGGGGTACAAATCCACGAACTCTCGGACATGGGCCCAGTACCCTACTGACCAGGCTACCTCAGCCTAACAAAGTTTATTTATTTAATTTAATTTCATGCCTTATTCTAATAAGAAAGTTCACAGAATATTCAGAAGTATTCAGTTCACAGAATAATTTTATTAATAATTATTTTATTAACTGTACAATTTAGATTATTTTGTGAGCAACAAATATTACATAATTTATTTTCTTGAAGAATAATATATTCAAAATTAAAATGTTTAAAAATAAACAAAGGTAACATATTTTAACATAGCAAACATGTAATATATTATATCCTTTACAAGTTAGTAGCTATCAATTATGTAATATTTCTTTTCAAATTAAAAACAAAGTTCTTCCTTTAACCAGTTGAGAATTATATGTTAAGAAAATAAATATTTGTAACAGTAATCAAAATTAAACTTAAAAACACAGATAATTTTACCAATGCGTAATTATTATTCAAGCAGTGGATTATTAATTTTAAATAGAATATGAATAAAAAGGCAGTGTTTTAAAGGGATAGTGACCTATTTTTACAAAAAAAAGTGCGTCAGGCAGGGTGAGCCGCCCTTTTAGAAACACTTAGGGAGAACACTGGAAAACAAATTATTGGAAATGCAAAGCAAAACGGAATTAAGTTAACTTTGATATGCTTATGATGAGGAAACAAATGAAACATTGCAAATGAAAAAAAGAGGAAAAAAACTATAAATGGATACATGTTTAGTTTTCTGAAGCAAATTTTTTAGAGTAAAATATATAAAACACAAAAATAATTAAAGTAAAGATTGATTTTCATTCAGTTTCCACTTCATAACCAATAAAAAATTATAACAAAGAATTTCAAATTCATTTTTTTTAAAAAATATAGAATTAGAAAATTAAAATATAACTGATAGTAAAGTTCATCATACAAATTTAAGTAAAAAAAAAAACTTTCTTTGTATGTAGTGGTATTCTTTTCTTTTATTACATTCTTTTTTAATAGTAGTTTAAATAAAAAACATAAATATTTCAGCAATGACAATTATAATAGCTAAATTAGCAAAAGAACAATATAACATTTTTAATTGCTTTAACATGATGCAATTAAAAATGAGCAAACAAACAATTGTCATAAGACATAAATTATGCACAATTCAGATGATAAAATAAACAAATTATAAGTATATTACAAATAAAAATTTAGAAAAAGGAAAACAGACTTACATATGCTATCTACTAAATTGACATAACTTCATACAAAAGAAAATGTTTTGTTTGAATCAAATGTCCCCTGGACTGGTGGTTAATTTTTTACTCAGCTAACGTTTTCAATTAAATATATGTAAATCCTATAAAAGAAAGAAAAATATGAACATTAATACAGTTTAAAAACAAAATTGTAAAAGATAAACACTTGAAAAAACATACAGTATCAAACTGGGTAAATCAGCCCATAAAAAGCCTTTTTATTTTTTTATTAATCTGTATAGTAATTATAGGAAACTGGTAAAAAAAAATGTAGATTCTGTTGGTTTTCTTTACTCTAGATTTTTAATCTTACAAATATTTTGACATAATGATTTTACAGTAATAATAAAGTGATAGTTTTTGAATAAATAAAAAACTATTTCTTTTCTTTAAATAGCATTAGTAGGTACTTTATTTACATAGTAGTAGTTTACTACATGGTTTCAGCCCACCTAGCTTCAGTTCAAAAAATAGCAGTTTGTCTAGGAAGTAAAGGCTATCTCTTTGCTACTATATTGGTTTTGAAATTGTGGAAACTTAATGTTCACAACCCTCCTGACCGACAAACTGGCTATTCAGGGAATGCTTTACTTTTACATTGGTCTTGCACTAGACTAATCGTAAAGACATTGTTCCTGATAGCCAAGCACCATTGGTTGTTGCCACTGAGCATGTGGGTGACCACTTTGATCAACCTGCTTAGTAGCCGAAGATGTGCAGTATTTGTCCTCGTTGAACCATCAAATACTCAACTTTGCACACAGTTAATCAGGATACCAAAGTGGGGAAGGGGTGGTAATCTCTTCTGCAGAAGATCTAAATTGTGAAGACATGTCTTTAAATCACACTCACGGATGTTTCCCAGACCATCCTTCATTGGTCTATCAATATTTTTAAAAAGTAAAGTTGTACATTTTGTACAAATCAAATTTTTTATTTGCAATTTCTTAGAAGAAAATAAGAGGGATAGTAATTACATTCAATAAAATAACCCACAGATTTTGTTTAAGACATAAATAAGCTTAATGGCTCTAAAAGAAATGGTACAGAAATTAAACTTCACTGTTTCTAGGTAAGAGTATTTTTTAACCTGGAATCAATTAGAGTCCTCTATAGTGTTTTATTGGCACTTTTTATGCTAGTAATAAACTGCACAAAAGTTCGGGAAACATACAAAATGAGATGAAGAACAAAATATACAAATTATTCTATGAGTATTGATTATGCATATTCAAGTAGAGAGTCAAATTATATCAAAATATGTATGCAATTATTTGTAACATTCGTATTCGTAACATTCGTAACATTCGTATTCATTTCATATAAAAAGTTCAGAAATGTGTGTTGAGGACATGGAACAGTAATGACATTTTACCTATATATTTTTTAAACATAATTTATATATGTGCTTGACGTCTTTTTTTCTTTAGTGCGTGTTGTAAGCAAAGCATACTATTAAATAATGAAAATAAATATTTTAATGAAAAATATTGCTTAAAGATGCAAAAGTTAACGGATTAAGAAAATAGGGTAAATATTTTTGCATTAAGTTGTTACATTCTGGTTATTTTTACAATCTTATCCTTTTTAGCTAATATTATATTAACTGTACATAATGATTATCTTATATAATTCTGTAAACTAAAAAGCTATTCTGCTCTATGGAAGAATTTGGTCTTGAACCATAAAACTCGAGTCAGATTTTACAAAACAATCAAAGCAAAAAATCAGAAGGTCAGAAGAAAATTTCAAAAATAAAATAAAAATTTCTACAAATGACGCGTATTAAAAGTATCTTTTAATTCCTTATTCTTAATAACTCCAATAATTTCATCATTCTTACAAAGTTCTATCTTTTTATAATTCTATTTTAAATTATTACACTCATGGTTATTTTAACCATCTTACTTATTTTTAGATGATATTTAATTAAAAAAAACGGATTATCATATGTAATTTTGCAAAAGTAAAATGCTGTTATGCTCTTTTTTTTCCATAACCAGGGGTCTGTCCAGACCGAATTTACTACCGTTTAGCAGTACCTTCACAAATTCAACTTAATCAAAAATGGCAGTTTCACAAAATACTTTTTCTTAAAATTTTATTTTTGTATCCCTTAAGAAACGATAAATCCATATTTTTACTATATTTCTGCGTTGATTTTTTAATATAATTTTTAATTTTTCACAAATTATGTCTGAATTTTCACAAAATAGGTATCTCTCAGAAAAACCTAGACAGACCCCTGATAACTCCAAGCAGCTGGAACAGAACAGAAGCAGAATTAGAACTAAAATGCCAATAATTTGCTAAGCTGAAACAAGGGGGATATTTCCGTATCGTGATCTGTCGCACCAACTACAATCGCCAAGGTGCAAAATAGATTTTAAACTTGCAAATATTTTTTTAAAAAAACGCGTATATGTTTGCCCGGGGGTGGCTACGAGCTTTACCTTTTGAGTTGGTCCCTTTCTGTGATGTTTTTTTTTTTAGTTTCTACTTTCTAGTACGACACTGCCTGAGTTTCCAAGACTTGGCGATCATCCTGCAACAGATCACTGTACGGAAATATCTCCGAAGCAAGTAGCTTTTAAGTAGTTTTTACTATGTTACAGTTACACTCAATATTTTTTCAATTTAAGACATTAGCATTGCAAGGCTTATAACCATATCCTTTATTTTTAATATCATAAAACAGAAAAGTAGTTCAACAGCAGTCTTATGTACATTAACACATTTATAAGACGTACGTGATTATTTATCAATAAAAATGATTTTAGCAATGATTTTTAATGTAAAAACTAATATTATGTGTCTATACGCATCATATGTGTTGCATGCATCATTTATGTATTCACTTCAAACCACCACATACATTACGCTGCTTATAAAATCATAATAAAATAACAAATTGAAAATCATCTAAAATATACGAAATAGTTAGCAGAATAATAGCAATTCCTCCAAACAAAAATAACTGAAATTGCAATAAAGAGAATTAAGCAATATTTAAAGTATGTAAACTGTCAAAACCATTCATATATTTACTATAAACAATTGATAAAACAGCATCACTTCACCCAAAATAAATTTGAGAGAATAAACTTGCTAATTCCAAGTCTTCACCCTTAGTTAGAATCAAGTTTTTAAAATTTGTGATTCTCAGAAATTATGATGACTTTTACATCAACAATTGCAAATTTAAAATTATTTATCATTAAAAAAAGCAAGTTTAAAGTCATAATTAGGAAAAATAATTTAAAATCTTCGGCAGAATCGTTGAGTGCAATGTAAATAATAACAATGAAAAAGTTAAAGGTTGATAATCTTATATATATTGTGTTTACTCAAACAAACACTTGGCTTATAGCTTTCAGAGAATTCCGAACTTACATTGAAGATTTAATTTTTTTAAACAAGCTATAAGCTAGCTTAATGCAAAGTCCTTTCAGTAATATTATACACCAGTAGCAACATTTGGACTTGAATTTGGGTACCTAATGATTGTGAGTTGATTATTAAAGTTTACTTGAAGTGCACAATGAAAATAAAAATTAAAAACTATACAGCTGTTGCTACATGGCGATGGATTGCCAATGATGATAGTTGTGGTATATGTCGAATGCCTTTCGACGGTTGTTGCCCAGACTGTAAAATGCCTGGAGACGATTGCCCACTTGTTTGGGGCAAATGTTCACATTGTTTTCACATTCACTGCATTATGAAATGGTTAACATCTCAACAAGTTCACCAACTATGTCCTATGTGTAGGCAAGAATGGAAATTTAAAGAATAATTTGATTTTTCTTTATATTTGTGCAGTTCTTTGTGGTCATCTTTATTTACTGCTTATTCTATGTTCCTGAAAATTATTACAGCAATTGCTCGATATTGAATTATGTGTAAAATGTATTATAATCCCAAAACTAACTATATACGTTTGTGTTTAGATATGAACTGCTTATTTTACATTCATTTTTACTGGAAAAATAATAACTATAATCACATAGAATTGTTTCCTGCAATCGTATCAACATCTTTTATTCAACAAAAGACAAATGCTTTTCACCCTGTAATCACAAGTTTTTCTTTCTTTATTAAAGCTGAATATTGTAGAATAGTTATGAAAATAGCCCCAAACTTGTAAATAAATTGTGTGTTTTTATGAGTTTAGTGTTTGATTTTTTAAAATGCAAGTACTATACAGTTTTGACATACAGTTATGTATAGCTGTGAATAAAATTGAAACATTAAAATTCTTTGTATTTGTATACTCTTACAAGCATATTTCAGTCATGTAGTTTTATTTTTTGGGCACACATTTATTAAGGTACATTAGTTTGTGTATTTTTTTTTTTTTTTTTTTTTTTTTTTTTTTTTTTTTTTTTTTTTTTTTTTTTTTTTTTTTTTTTTGCATTTTGAAATGCATTTAAAATTTGTACTGACTGATTTTCGGACTTGTCACCCCAACTTGAACATTCGTCTCTATAATCAATGAGTACTAGTTTTAATGTTGATATGTATTCTTAAAAATATTTAGCAATTTATTCAAATATTTTTTAAATTTCGTATAAATGGTCCACATTTTGTTACCAACACAAACTTTATCAACTTTTTTAAGAATAAAGTGTTAAAAAAATTATCCTCCTTGTATAATTTTTGCAATATAATTTTTTAGATATGTTATAGATGATGATCGAGGTATTGATGCAGTTATTGTTCTTAATATTTCAATTTTATATACACGTATTTTGCATAGCGGTAACCTGTTTAAACTAGAATTATTTCTTCTCTATGCGTTAGCAAACTTGGCTTATTCGTTCTTATAATTAAAATATACACATTTAACTCCTGCTAATACCGAGATGGCTTAAAGTATTTATTTCCATAATCATTACTGTTAAATATTGTTCAATAAGATACTATTTGATTTTGAGGACTGAAGAAAAATTGCTTAACTATTTTTGATGCTTAATTCATAACTGCCAATCCTTCTGCATTTTTCAGAAGCTTTCATTTTAGCTATCTTTTTGTGTGTAGAACCTAAGATTTTCCACAACCCGTCCGCCCCATAGGTTGTATTTTCTTTAATTCAGATGTCACTTCTCATCTTGCTTTGGCCTTGGGGAACCCGTTTGCTGTGATAAAGTGTGGCATGATGGATTTCTCCTCTCATCTGCCAATGAGAGAAGGAATTCAGCTTTTCTGCAAGAGTTCTCCCGTTATCATGTGACTTCCTGTTTACCGACACGAAAGCAAACGTTGAAGGAAAGTGGTGTGTGTAAAAGAGAAATAGTACTGGATTTGCAGTAAAAATACTTATTTGTTCATTGAATTAATCTTGTTAATTTTTATATATTATGGCTAAACGAAAACTATACAAAACTAGCCTTTAAGAAGACTTGTTCTTTTGAATTTCCATTTATTTCTAGATCGTGATGTACATGATGATTTCGTACATGGTGATGATTGCGCACAAATGTAAACATGACTTAAGTGTCACACACAGTTGTAAGACACGTAAAATCAACAAAACTCAAAAAAAAAAATTTTATTTTATTTAATAACGTCGTTAAACTGCCAACCCAATTTTTTGGATTCAAGACCACTAATGTTACACTCCATAGCCTTGTAATTTTGAACCCAATCCAGAAGAAAAGGAAACTCTTGGATCAAGTATTCGTTTTCGTGGAAGTGGTACTTACTTGCATTTGTGTTACATGGAGAGGATAGCAATGGGACTCTAACCCATGATCTGTCTACCACTGAGGATATTTTACGTCACTGCAAGCCTTATGTGGAAGTGGAATTCGTATTGGCCAGTCATCGCTGGGATTCAAACCCAGTTCATTGGAAAGTGAATCCTCTATCTCCTGAGCCGTCGTGGATCCTGAATTATTGAGAAAGCAATTACGAAAGTGACAAATGCTTAATTTCTCTTCACAACAACATTTTTAGTAGGACATAATTTACCGATCAGTGCAGCCGATCATGCTTCAAAACTCTTTAAAAAGATATTTCTTGATTCTGATATTAAATGAGTAATGAGATGACTAGTGAACTGCAGAAATCAATATAAAAACACTGCATTTTGTATTGCAATTTACAGGACAAATGACTGTGATTCGAAACTCCATTTTTAATGAATCATTTAAAAAAATTCAAAGTTCTGTTTTAGCATTTACTATTATTAAAGATGGCTGTACAGGGGTTAATATTGTAAACAGTGTATTGGACAATTTCAGCAGTCTAGGCATTCCCTTTGAAAAATGTGTTTTCTGTGGTGCTGATAATGATCAGTGACAAAAATGGTTCTCTAAAGATGTACAAAATGAATTTATTATTGAATGCCCTTGTCATCTTAATTTAGCTGTGCCAAAGTCTATTTCTGCTATTAAATTTCTCCCTTGATCAAACAGTAATTTATATTTTTTACTATTTCGAATTTAGTTCTGAGAGAAGGGAAAAATTTAAATCATTTCAATTACTATGTGATGTTGAAATGCGAAAAATGTTGAAACATACCTTTACTTGGCGGCTGTCCCTTGGTCAATGCTTAGATCAAACACTTTAGCTGATCCCATGGACCAACAATTTGCATCTTTAGCTAATATTTATGATGCAGATGGCTATAAGTATAAAACAATTTCAAAAATTCTTAAAACTATTTTCACTGTACCCCACAGCAATGCTGAATGCGAAAGAGTGTTTTCTGTGACTCTTTCCTGCAAAAGAGGACTTCTGGGAACAATTCAATATCTCTAGAGGTATTGATTTGTTATGGGAACTTGGAGGACTTAGTGACCCCATTAGATTTACCGTGCAACAGTCACCATTTGATACAGGGGGTTCCTTTGACCAGCGGAATTCGAACTCCCTTTCTCACGAAAACTAGTTCAAGCCAGGCTATCCTGACCCTTTTAATTTGTAGATAGGGTGATTCCACATCAAATTAAAATGTCTGGTCGTTGTATTTAATTTATTTTTGAGGCATGGAAGGAACTGACAGAATGGAATAAAAAAAAGTAATAATTTTTTTTTTTGTTTATTTGATTCAGAATTTTTTTCACAATTCCCAAACTCTTTTCGTTGTAATTTGAGACTTTAAGCTAGTGTTTTCAATTCATTTATAATTTTCATTTATGCACATCCAGAAAATCTACTGATTTCACCTTATCAACAGCAAACGATCTTGTATGAGAATATTGGGCTTTAGAAAAATTTTGGGGACCCAATAGCTAAACCAGTGAAAAGTTTTCGTGATTTTATTTTTTCAGTTTTAAGGCAAATGACTATACAGATTGATCAATTGTCAATCTGTTTTCCTACTAAATTTCCTAAAAAAAATATTTACCCCATTTTAATTTAGCAATGAGCATGTATTTATGTGTTCGAAGCGATACTGTGGAATACGGTAAATATTAATTAATTTATATTTAAAACAAAAATGAAGATCGTTAAAAGCCGTTTTTAATATTCCCTTCCATACACACCCCTTTAACGGTTGAGTTAGAACGCAAGGGAAGCGGTCTCTTAACATTACAGTTAAGCATTGCACCCCTCACATTTTTATTTCATAATACGTTATAAATTTCTAAAAGTAATGTTTATCTCTTATCAATTGTATGAATGTCTTCTTATACCTTTCGTTTTTTTTTTTCTGTTTCAAATTATATATTTTTACAGGGTATACGCTCACCTGGAAAGTCATGAATTTCAGTATTGAACAAAATTTGTCATGAAATGTCATGATTTTTACTATTTTTTAAAAGAAAACATAGAAAGTCATGGATTTAGGTCTCCGAAAAATGTAATTTTTAAAATGGAATCCCCCCCCCCAATTTCATCCTGTTCTAAATATCTGAATTCCTAACAAAATCACCATTCAATCATATTTTATTAGAATATAAAATGATTTTATCATGTTCTTTAAAAATTATGGTCTTCTTTCAAAAAATGAAAGAAAAAACATCATTTCTAGAGTGAATCTTTTAAACTCTCTCTCTTCTGTGATTTAAGAATTTTTATTAGTAATTTTTTTTAATTTTATCAATTTAAAATTCTAGTTGAAGCAAACCAGTCAGTGACGAATTTTTTTTATTCCGAAATGAGAACAGAAAAATCAGGAGTATTTCTTTCCTTTCTGATGAACAAGAAAAGTGTCTTTAGAATTTAATTCTGCAGAAAAAAAATTATTTGCTTTTGTATTTTTTCAGCTATTTTATTGTTTTAAATCTTTCTTTACTCTGATTTTTTAAATTTAAAATCTATAAATATGAAGATGTAGAATATAACAGTTTTGATTATACCTATCATTTCGAATAATGTTTTTTT